TGTACAGCCTGTCAGTATTACACAAAGAAATAGATTGTAAATTCTAGGAATTCAAAATAAACATTGCACAGGTTTTACCAATTAATTATATTTAAATGAGATAAACTCCGTTTTGTTCTATGTATGTAAATCAAATCCATCTCATGTTAAAAGCGCTGGCTACTCTGTACCTTCATCAGAGCTGTCTTCCTTCTGCTGTTGTAGAGGTTAATATCACATTTTTTCTCTGCTAGGAGAGCTACCACTTCGTGATGACCCAGTGCACAGGCCCAGTGTAGCGCGGTCCTATGAAAGTGGGAGGATACTTTAGAAAATTATTACGCACTTTCTCAAAATATAATTATTCATGTAGTTATAAACATTAAATAGCATGTTATTCCTGTGCCTTCAAAACAAATATTTAATTTCCCTCTGAAGAAAGCACAATATTTATGAGCACTTATTACTCACGACATGAACTCAAGGGCAGCCTATCTGAGTAGAAAGATCATGGCCTTAAACTCTGCCACTTACTAGCTATCGCTGAGCTTCTCTGTGACTCAGTTTCCTCATCAAGAAAATTAGAGATAAAAACGGTGGTTAACTCACAGTACACCACTGTGATGCTCCAGTGAGAATCCAGGCAAAGCCTTTAGAACAGTTCCCAGCACAAATAGCAGCTCGGTGACTGTCAGATAGTGTAATTATTACTAGAATTATTAATACAAAGACAACATTTTAATGAAGTAAAATGATACAGTTACACCTACTTTGCAGATATGTTTTAAGGATTACAGATAAAACTGTATTTCAATAATTCTAAGATGCTCATTTTCTCACACTTTAACATCCCTGACATTGGACGGCCACTTATAATTCAAGGTGCATTAGAACTGTAATTGGCAGCACTTTTTAAATCTCTATTAATATAAGAAATAATGGGGCATCACACAATCCATGGTGAATCTTTATACTAAGTGAAATCTTTACACTAAGGCCTACAGCAGTTCTAATAATATAGCTGGCATTTAAATCAATTTTAGTTCTTAAAAGTGGTATGGGGGAAAGTGGGCTAAAATAACAACAAAAAAAATTTAAAAACAAAGTAATTCTTATTTTGATTTTCATGATAAGCTAAACAAAATTCAAGATTCAAATGAACAGATGTAGCTCAACTGATTCAATATTTCAATTTACAGAATTTAATGCAAATCAGC